CGTCACCGACGCATAAGGTAGATAATGACACTCGCCTTTGTCACCCGTCGCAGGATGCTCCATAGCGTCTGAAATGATATCTGCACGCCGTTCAAGGACGGAGAAAATTGAGGAGTCGTCAATTGAGGTCCACACTAGAATTGCAGGATAGGGCACCAATGGATGTCGCAGCACTGCTTGTTGAAGAGGTTGATGAGGATGCAGATTCGCGTCGAGGAACGTCGATTGATATGGGTGCAACATGGACTGTAATAAAGCGCAGTGAGCATCAGTCGTCGTCCAGACCGGCGGATCGCGGTAGAGCAAGAACAAAACGTGAAGAAACAGGCGAGGACCCCGAAGGTGGATGACGGGCTACGGATGAATGAACTTGAGACGAACCAGCTGTAGAGCTTCGAGCGCCATTGGTAGGCCGGACTGCGATATTGCTTTGTGATAAGGAAACTGACGCAGTAGAGTCGTCTTCTTCTTGTTTCACGGCTGCGTGAGGTTTCGCTACGATTGGCGGAGTGGACCTTCTAGAAGTCTAAGTCATACAGGTTTATGTAAGTGTCCAGAAACCTGCCTACACCGGCGACTTTTTAACTCACAGAGGCGACCTTGCGTAACCGCTCGCGCTCCCGCCGAGCGATTAACTCTTTCATTTTCCTAATCTCCTCCTCTTTCTCTTGCAAAGTTGCAGGCGCAGCAGCAGGCGAGACTCTCCTTGCCGTCCCGTGAGGAATCTGCGAAGTGCCTCTCCGGGAAGGAGGACGAGTCACTGGTATGGACGCAGCCTGCGCGCTGCTCATGGACACGTCACCTGGCTCGTATTGCCCATTCGTCAAAACAATATTGACAACATCCTCCTCCATCTCGTCATCCTCACTGTCGCTCAGATTTATCACGCAGCGTCGCATTCCGCTCACACCAGCGAATGATCCACCAATTCTTCGCCTCTGAGACGAGTGGAGGTACGGGGTATTGAAGCTCTCGTAACTGTTACTCGAGTGCGGACGAGATGGGCCGGGCTCCATGTCCACGAAATCTGCTGCGACGGGCCGTTTCACTCCCCGTCGAGCCGCTATTGCCGCATCGAACGTATAGGACCTCAACTGTTCAGAGAGGAGACCAGGAACGGCGTCCACATTGTCGCGGTCGTCTGGATGAATCGGAGAGTTCCCATTCAACGATGACTGGCCAGACGACGATGGCGACTCGACGATGGGGCCCCGAACGATAGCCTTTGCGGTTGGTGAGGGAGGTATGGTGAGTGACGCAGAGATCACGAGAGACATGGACGAGGATCGAGCAGGAGATGGTAGGGATGCGTATGCGCCCGACAACCCTGGGATAGGTTCGTCCACATCCATTTCATCAAAGGTGCTGGTGCGGCTTGGAGGAGCCGGCGCTGCAGTCGATGCTTTGCCCTTCCCCTTATCAGGCTCAGAGACAGGTTCGATAGACTTCAGAAAGTCATCCACGGTGGTGGTGGGGACGGCCGAGGCCATTTCGACGTCTTTCCGCTCTATCGCAGCAGGAGTCGCTGGAGTAGCCACAGGAGAGCTCGTGGTCGGGGAAGCGGACACTGCTTGTTGCTTGGCTTTGCGGGACGCGAGCACAGCTTTACGCGCCAGCAGCTCTTGTCTTCGCTGTTGCTCCATATCAAGGAGATCCGGGGAAGAGGGAAGTCGAAGTGCAGATGCATCCGGGACGAAAGGAGGGGCGCTAGCGGACAAAGCCTGCGAAGCAGGAGATTCTAGCGGGACAGTTCCTTGTGTTGTGATGAGTTAGATCTTAGCGAACGTCATCAGAAGCTAGCGGTACACACTTGGAACGCTCTGTTGCCCTTGGGTAGCCGTTGAAACGCTTTGAGCCATGTCAGGGAGACCGTGAGGCAGCATTGGTACGACTCCGGTGAGATCCAGATTAGACGGCAGTCGCAAGTTCAATTCAGAGAACACATAAAAGACGATCTCGCGGCTGACCCCACAGCTCACAAGAAACTCTGGAGGTACTCCCCATCCGAGAAGATCAAGAATAATGTCTTTCGCCGCGTTGTATTGGGCCTGTGTCACTGAACAAAACGTGATTAACCGACAATCTGAGAATTAGAAAGCCATGAACATACTCTCTAATCCGGGCCTGATGTGATTGGCATTGATCACGAAAGGAGGAGGACGAGGCGGCACGAGCTGAGAGGTACTAGCAACAGACGCAGCACTAGGAGGCGGTTGCGGAGGCTTCACTATGATGACGGTCGATTCCGTCTTGATCGGTGGCGACTTGGGAAATCCTGGAGGCTTGCCTTGGGGCTTTATCATAGGCTGAGGTGCAGATCTCAGTTGTGGGGTGGCCGGTTCAGGTTTGACAACGGGGGCCGTCGGAGTCGTCGGCTCAGATTCACTGATCTCACCCTCTTCCCTGGTTTGCGATTCATCTTGCTCCTTCTGATCTGGCTTCAAAAAACTGGGTGCAGGTGGAGGTACTGGCTTGGACGCTGGCGCTGCAGATGGCTTGGTTGATGACGAGGCAGACGTCGGCGCACCATCAAGCTCCTCTTGCCCATAATCAAGCTGGATGGAGGTTGGCTCAGTAGGACGATGAGAAGGAAGAGCAGCCGATGTCTCAGAAGCAGTTTCCAGCTTTCGTCGCTTGGACTTGAGGGTCCTCAGCGCTGCTGCTCGCAGCGATGCCGCAAGATCCTCCGAGGTGGTTGATGTCGGCGATGGCCCCGGTCCTGGTTGCGAGGGCATTGCCTGAGACTGTCCAGTCGCAGGAAGTGCAGCCATGACGGTCATTGACACGACTGAGTGTCGGCAGGAAAGAGACAGGGAGGAGGGAGGATATGGGAAAGCGAACCACGATGATGGGTGAGATCGCGTGTTCCTCCTCACGCACGGACCACCTCCGCCACCGTGCGCGGCTGCCAAAACGAGGGGCGTAAAGGGGCTGCCTCTCCGATTTATGTCACAGCAGGGGGCATATCTGAAGTAGTGATGTAGCAATATTTATTTCCATATCTACCGCCAATCCCTATTGTCTCTGCTTAGAACGTTGGGATTCCTAGTCATCCATGGTGCCCCAAATAAAAAAGACGGCTGCGATCGAGTAATCAACCATCTCTTCCTGCGATTGTGCGATGTCTAATCGCCGCCGACTGTCAACCTTCAGTTGAGTAGCGGTACATGATTAAGGTTCCCTTTCACTACCAAGGGCAAAATGCCTACAGCAATATCAGTTTCACGAGGCCAAAAACAAATCCTCGATACGACTCACCTCCAGTAGGCAACGCATACGGAGCACGGCCCATTGCACCGAGAAAGCCGTTGATGATTCCACCATGGGCCGTGATAGAGATGTCTGTGGTAAACCGGACCATCAGTCGGATACTCCTTCCTTTCAGCCACGCCACAACGCTGGCAAGGATGGGGTGGCGTACGCACATTTTGACTGGTCCTCCTCAAAAATCTTATTCAACACAGCATGCGCCCTTTCCATCACATGTGCCTTGGTCTCCCGCTCATCTGACTGCCATATCAGGTCCTCCTCGGTGAAGCCAGGCTCGAACTGATATATCGCCGGCGGGAAGTTGCGCTGAATGACAGAACGAGGGTTACGCATGTCGCACGTATGCACACCGCACTCTTCTCTTAGAGTCTGCGCAGTGCACGGGCGGTCGCATGAGAAAGGCGAAAGAACAAGCGAGGGTATTCATGACTTTAGTGCATCTCCGATTAGCAACAAGGCTTACCTCCAGGATGAGCACTGTCGATTTCTGCGGAAGAGCCTTCTCGTCATTGAATGTGGCCTCCCAAGTACTCAGCGCCCTGTGCAGAGGACTCGCGTAGCACGTCTCTGGAACTGGAACACCACATGTAATCTCCTTCAGCCATGTTAAGCGAGCATACTCCGCTTGCTTGATTCCCAGTGGGGTCAGCAAGGGATCCGGACCCCAGGTAATCTCAGAGTCGCCGTATTTCTTCGACCAATACCTAGGCGAACAAACGCCGGTCATCAAGTGCCTTCACGACCGGCCAACATGAAAGCTTAACGAACTCATCCCAAGCCTATATGCGTAGCGTATTGAGATAGGAGTAAGAATAGTCTACATGCCCAAGGTGCTCACCTCAGTCCCGTATTTCTCTTCAGCGACATTATCTACCACCGCAGTACGTTTGCACGAATTATCAGGAGGCAGTGTAAATGTGAAACGTACGGAAACCTTGGCCGTGCCTGCCTAGGAAGAACAGCTTATAGTGCGTTCCCTCGGGCGCATCGCTCTGCAGCTGGGAGATCTGAGCCTTGAACTTCGCCCAATAGTCCGGGGAATCGTCCAGCAGTCCGAAACGAGGTGGCAACTGTGTGAGAGTGAAGGCTTGTCAGCTGGAATGAAGGTATATTGGCAAGGAGGCCACGGAGGATGGCAGGTACTCACAGCACCGATCTTGGAAGGGTCAGCATCGGGATGGTCCTGAGCGAAGAAACCAGAGACTATCTGAGAACAACAACAAACCACAACCATCAACAAGCTGTGAGAACGTTGGAAGGATTTGTGGACATACCGAATACTTTCGAGACGACACAGATCTAGGGATCGCCTGCATGACGCCGATGCGTGGCCGATGCTCAAGCTGTTGGCGATGACTGCACTCTTATCAACGTCGAGACAAAGATATGAAGAGGATAGAAGAGCCAAAGCCAGCACAGTTCAATGTGTCGAACGCCATCCAAATTGATAAAATGGGGACCCGGGGAACATGCGTGGCTGAAGATGATTCGGCGTGTAAAGTAAAGTGATCGCGGTCGGGACTCGGCAGTGACCGCCCTAAGTACCGCGCAGGATCTAACACTCCGTTGCGTACTGCGCCGCAACGGAGTGTACTGCGCAGATGTCAAACGAAGAAGTACGCTGAGTAAACCTGAGTATCTCCTTCATAGAGACTGCGAGGGTCAAAACGTTAACAAGCCAACCAGTCCGAACCGTGCTAAATTCCCTTTAAACGGTCTATATGTCCGACCAAAAGCATATCACGCTGACCTCGCAAGTTTCGTGCTATTATATGCAATGATCAAATATACAAAGCTACACGGTAGTGGTACAACAGTCTAAAGCGACTTCTTCAAATCTACACAATCATCTCATCCGGGTCTCCAAACCTTTCCCGCATATACTCTTCAAACGTTGTCCTCTTCACCTCGGGGAACAAGTCCCAATGACACTCCCATCTCGACCGTCGGAACGTGCCTGAGCCCTGTATACTCTTTACCACAAAATAAAAGTCCACCGGGAAGCTCGAGTTCATCGCAATCTGCTGGGGTGCCTCCTGCGGTCGCGCGATGAACCGGTGCGCTTCGTCCATCGAGAAGTGGCGCACGTCCACCTTGCGCCCGCGTGCATATTTGCGAAACAGCTCGACCATGGCGTGCTGAGAGAGCGTCTCGCTCGGGAAGTTCAGGTACGCATTGGCAGAAATGGCGGGCTTGCTGAGCGTCGCGACGACGTAGCGCGCGACGTCGCGCGTGCAGGACCAATCGGCGCGAGCGTTGGGGTCTCCGACGATTGGGACTTCATAAGACTCGCGGTCAGAAGTCCAAGCACACCAGAAAGGCTCGGTTGGCTACATAGAGAACGTCAGTACACCATACGGCCGCTGATGGTACAGCAGACGAACCTGATCATAGAGATCCCCAACACCAATGAATGTATACTCCAAATTTCCCGCTTCTACTGCAGGGTGGAGCTTCAGGTGCTCTGCAAAGCGCTCTTTCTCATCCCAAAGCTGCAGAGAGATTGAATATAGCAAATAAACCAGTGTCGCACTTTGGTACTTACAGGCATAATGCGCCCTCCAGGGTCTCCTGGTGCCCTATACGCCTGATGAAAGCCGTATTCCGATGGGTAGAAACGTCTAACGCCTGCGCCATGGTCATGCACAGGATGGGTATGTTTAGGAGTATTCTAACTGACCAGCCTCGATTGCGGCATTCAGGATCCGATACTGCGCCGATATTCCAGGCCCGCTTAACGCGCTGATTATTGCATCCACTCCTCGAAGGTGTTGGGCGAGAGCAGTCCCCTCTTCGAAATAATCAAGCTCAATGATGAGCACTTGGGGATGGTCCGCAAGATTCCGCTTCAAAGGCTTCCCAGGACGTAGGAAGACGGTGATCCTAGGGTGGTAACCCTGCACAGGCGAATCGAGTAGAGCCGAGAGGATGACACTGCCTAGCATGCCCCTAGCGCCAAACAGAGCAATCGTATTCAAGGGTTGGGAGTTGTTGACGGCGGACACTCCGTGCGTTCGTCGGAGAGGCGATCCATGTGTAGACATGCTGAAGTGCAATGGGTTTGGGTTCGTGGACACTCTGGCACTGGAGTGTCTTATTACGTAGAGAAGACTGTCGTCATACGAGTGGAGTGCTTGATGTCGAGCCAGGAGACACCAGACCTCGGGCAATCAGGGCGGCTTGGAGCGTTCGAAGTAGCACACAGACCCGCAGTCTATTCCGATGCATCTAGCCACGATGCTTCGGTCATACGGAGAGTTCAAGCCGTAAAGACGTTCGTGAGGATGAAGCGCATGAGTGCCGGAAGGTTGCCAGAACGCAGGTCAGAGAAAAGCGTTGCAGGACCCAGGCTCCTAGTCTCGGTTCCAGACGTTATAGGTGCTACTGTGCGCGCGGCTGGCTGCGCCACGGGAAGAGCCGGGCGGAGATCGAAAAACCGAAACGCGCGTACGCACGTGACAATAACCAGTAGCACCTGCCAGTCCTTTGTGGTACTGCCACCATTCTCACAATGTCCGTGCATGCCGGAACAATCCCAAGGAGAGCTGTCAAGAGCGCGGGTATCCATCTCCTCTCGTTGAACGCATAGACACGCAAAGCGGACGAGACTAGGGAGGTATATAAGCTGTTGAATGCGGTGAGGGTGACCCCGAGAAGGCACACACTTGCTATCACCAGTTCTAACAATACGGTGGTCATAATTTGCAAGTTGCTAGTAGCTGCACACCTATCCAAAGGACCCTCTCGCTATTGATGGTGTTTACATTGAAGATTAAACGACGTACTCCTGAAAACGTCGGTCAAGACTCACGCAAAGGCAAGCATGAATGTGTCTCTCCACTTACCAGAGACGTATCCCACCAAAACGTTATTAGGATTAACGAGATACCCATGACCAAAAGCAGATAACGATTTAGAAGAAATAAGATCGAGGGAAAGGAGAATTTGTTGGTTGGCTTGGACCACACGAGGATGGCTTCTTGGGGTACAGTCGCGGCGTAATCGAAGAAGATAAGCGCTGCGATCAATTCTAATCAGTGACATACTGGCCCGCCGGAGAGATCTGCCAATTACCAGCTATCGCAACGGCGCAGTATGAGTAGACATAGCTGAACGATAGGCCAAGTCATTGCAAAATCTGGTGTGATAATGATACTCCTCACCTCAGTTGAAGCATTGCAGCGAGTTCCTCCTTTGGGATCGCAGTCTCGTTCACATTACTCGCCATTGCTCGAAGCGTTCTCGAGATGAGCCTGATGAGCTAGAAAACTTCGGAATAAACTCATCTGTTCGAGCACTGCTCTTATAGGCCATCAGAGCAGTGTGTTTCTGTATTTGATTGATTCATACATCCTAGTCGTGCTGCGATCACACTCTGAGTCCCTCGTTTCATCATACAAAATTGAATATCGGAGGAAGTTCCCAGCTGCTCGAGTAGTAGGATTCCCATGAACACCGCTATGCCTTCCGGATCGCAACGATGGCGGAGCATCGTACTATGTTCCTGGTCTGGGCTATGCATTGCCGAAGAGTAACTCCGGCAAAGACTCAACAGCATGCAGCAAAGGACACTCAACAACAAGGAGGACTTAGCAAAGTCTAGGGATATGTCGCACGGTAGAGAACTGCATCATACGATCTAGGCTGCGCAATCACGTCAATCAGGAACGAGTACCGGGTTGACGTGAGGAAGATGGCATTTTTCCACGACTAGTACTCCGACACGCACCGCATTGTTATATATTTTCTGTCTGACTGACCTTGTGCTGTAGCTGGTGTTTGCAAATTTTGCAGGTTTCAGCTCACCTTGGGGTGAAATTTCAAGGAAAAGACACACATCGTGAGACGCAATTCTGGCAGCTCATCACCATTGCGATGCCATTGTGATGATTGAACCACCCAATTTGACGTACACGTTACGGTATTTCCATGAGGATCTTGATACAGTGCCACTCGGCGTCAGCGGAACATATGAACTCGCGCAGACTCGGGCACCAATCCGCTAACGGGATCGGGCGCAACGCGTGCGCGTTCTGCTGTAACTGAAGCACGTGATGTGGCGTGGTGAGGTAGTG